ACCACACACACATACACATCTACACACACACACACATGTTCAGTAGGTAACAAGTACTTCCCTCCCCAAGCACCCACCTACCCACCTACCCGCCCTTCCCTCCCCAAGCACCCACCTACCCACCTACAGAGGTGGTGACATATGTAGGAGGACACACACAGTCCAAAGGTTTGAGCCCTGGATAATATTTGACTTTGACATATGTTATCCTACAAGCTTATCTGGGTTGGACTTTGTGGTACAGGTTCCGGGGTTCAAACAACCCACAAACGACCCGATCATTACCATACATCCCAGGTTCAAACCCATAGACAACAAACATTGTATTTTATTTTATTTTATTTTATTTTATTTTATTTTATTTTATTTTAGTAAAAAATTTACTGGACAAATCATATACATATTTACACAGAGTGGCCTTCGAGCCCCAAAAGGAACAAATCCCATGGGCCTAACATATTATTTTCAGAGGTGGCATGGGACACAGCACAGTGAGGAACAAACAACGTATCACAGAAGAGCTGCCGACGATACGGCAGCGGTATCACCTCCCAAGTTAACACAGCGCACGGGGCAATACGACGGCGCGATGGCTCATAAAGAATGAAAGCTGCTCTGGAAGTGTGTTTCGCAAACCTCTTGATCATTATTTCAATTTGGAAGTTTGGAACATACTAACATAGTAATAAGAACAGCGTTCCTCGCACGCGCAGGCCATATTTCTTTCTCTCTCTCTCTTTTTTTTTTTTTTTTTTTTTTTTTTTTTTTTTTTTTTTTTTTTTTTTTTTTTAATAAAACAGAAATTTACGGTGCTGGCTCCATATCCATTCTGGGAAGCGTCAGTGCCGCTCTTCTTTCACAGGCAAGTTGCACAGGCCATCTTTGAGGTCACCAAGGACGGTTCTTCCCGTCGGGTTCTGCACAGAAACGACAAGCACAACCAAGCGGTGGACAATGAAAAACTGTTACTTTTTCTGTTTTTTTTTTTTTTTTTTTTTTTTTTTGGTTCTGAATTATGCACAGAAACAACAAGCACAACCAAACTGGGCAAGGAAAAACAAGTTTAAACAACCACTCCTTAAACTGGCAAACTGGCAGCTCAGCCGAAGCAGAGGACTGCAGTTGCCGGTATACGCGATAAGATCCTTTCGATTCAGGCATGGGCCGGTAGAGAAAGCGGCAGGCCACTCTGGAAAAGGCGCAATTGCAGGTTCGGGAGCCTCTTAGAAGGTATAGCTTCGTCAACTTTGGCTCGTATGAACTGGTGGTTTGAAGACTGGAAGTTCAGTTGGTACACCCACATGAAGTTTGGAAATACAGGCCTGAGAGTTCTAATCCCAGATGATTTTTTTTTTTTTTTTTTTTTTTTTAAATCTATGAAAAAAGGAAATACAATACGAAAAACTAAAAACGGGCCACAGGGAAAAACAAACGCTTATAAGTTATAAGAGACCAGGCCTACTGGCAAAAAAAACATAAAAAATGAAGATTCAGAAAAGTGCGAACCAGTCCTTCGGGACATCCGTTAAATTTGGAACAATACAGAGAAAGAAGATTAATTAGCATGGCCCCTACGCAAGTAAGGATGACACGCATAAATCGAGAAATGGTTTAAAAAAAAAGGAAACGTCTGAACCATCCAAGCGAAAGGGTACCCATACCGGGTACTGGACCACGCATGCTGAAGGCCTCTGATACCATCTGGCTGAGAAGGGTAACCCACGGTGGGTATAGAAGGCCCAAAACAGCACCAAAAGGAAGGAAATAAAAAATGCCTGATGAGACTGCCTGATAGTCGCACCCTAGTACCCAATGAGTCGGCCTGCCCGATTGTCTAGAAAGGACAAAAATCCAACCCCATGGCTCACCTCGCCCATGTGCTAATCTCCTGTAGCACATGGAGAAAGAACCATTCAGGAGGGCCTTCTCCGACGTCCCTGGATCCAAAGTCTTTTTTTTTATTATTATTATTGTCCCTGAAAAAAGGCTAATTGAGACTAATTCTTTTAATCCTAACCAATTCAATTGCCTGTCAGATTTGGACAGGATGGCCTTTCTGCTAGTTTCTGGCCCTTTTTTTTTCATTAGATTCATTAAGAATTTAATATCATTATAGTATTACAGGGAACCCCGTAGCAGCCACCCTAAATTTTGTTACAAACCCTCTGCATGCGTTTTTTCTTTTTCTTCTTTTTTTTTAACACAAGACTGTCCTTTATTAATAAAAATTAAAAAGAAAAAGTGTCACCCCAAGATAACATGTCAAAGGATTATGCCCCAAACAGATGGTGGCGCCCATCACGCCTAGTACTGCACTGTTACCTTGTAGGCTCTCACTCATTCTGCAACACAACATGTGAGCGCACAGCAGCAGCTACAGACAAAGCGGTTCTGGCTGTGGAGAAGCAGAGAGTGGAGGAGCGCACTTCCAGGCAACTTTTTTTGTTTTTTACTTCCAGGCAACTTGATTGAGTGGAGTGGAGGAGAACACTTCAACAAGTGCATTTAGGCATGACAGAGAAAAACTGGAGGATGGAGGACAGAAGAACTGGAGGATGGAAATAGCAGTCAGGGTGAGCGAGAGAATCGCCACGGATTAGAGGCAGGCTACCGTCGTCACCCCAATAGAACGCCTGGTCATTATTATTGCCATATCTGGTCTGAAAGTTCTTAGGTTACCTGATCGGACGTCCGGGACCCCCCTGACCGTCCGGGGTTGTCCTATCGGACAACTGGTCGGACGTCCTCCCCGGGCAGTCTGTCCGAGCACAACAAAAAAAAAAAAAAAAAAAAAAAAAAAAAGAGTCCTCGGAAAAATCTGAAAAAAAACTTAAAAAAGTATGTTATACAGAAAAATAAACTGAACAACTTTTGCCTTGGAATCATACCGAAATTCGCTGCCAATTTTAAAATAAAAAATAAAATAAAATAAAAAGTTAAAAAGTAATAAAAACCTTTTTTTTTATACTTTTTTCGTGCTTTTAATTGCTAAAAATGGAGTTGTCCGAGCCCGGACGTCCGGGACCCCCCTGACTGTCCGCCCAGGACGTCCTGCCATCGGACAACTGGTAGCCTAGGAAAGTTCGCACCAAATAGAGCTATAATTACCGGGTGAAGATACGGCAATAATGACCGGGCGTTCTATGCGGGTGAAGACGGTAGTTGGAACAAAAACCCTTGTTACCTGCCTGATGGCTGAGTAGTATACAGTGTTTTGAATTTTTTGACCGTTAATAAATGGACCAAGAAGGTTTCGAGCATTGTACTGTTTTGAGTGTGTGTTTAAAAAAAAAAAAAAAAAAAAAAAAAAAAAGTTAAAAAACAAAGCAGCAACATTTCATTAGTGGTCTTAACGTTTGAGGCCGGGGAGTTAATAAATGCACCAAGAATTCAAGTCCTGTTAAACTGATAACGCAACCTTCTAGCAACTCCTGCATGTTGGGCGCTGCAAGAAGGAACCACCACTGCAATCGCTGGAAGACAACCGCAGAGCTCAGAGAATCTCTCAAGGGCTGCCACAATCTGGATGTTAACCTGCAGGCAATCAATGTTACAATCCACGCCACCGGACTGGGTGGCACTACTACAAACTCCGTCCGCCTGGACACCCGGGGAGTGGGCCACGTGGGCACTTCTGCAGAGAATACTCCCACAGTGGCATTGTCATACGTGAAGTCAACAGGACCGGCCGGGGACTGGGGGCTGTGGACCATTCACGACATCGAACAGCCAGGAAACACTGTCAGCTATTTTTTTTTGGCGACGCATTAAAAAGTTGAATAGAACTTTTATTGCACCAAATGTCAGCAGGGTTTCCAAAACAGTATGAGCCCGAGCCCGAGTCACAGCCAAACCGACCCTCCTCAGGAAAATTAGAGTGATCGAGGATGATGACTACAGAATATACCAGCCAGGAATGCCCCTGCAAGAGACCTGGAGTTTGAGCGGCCGAGCGGGCATGGAAAACAAGATCCACGCCAACGGCGATGCAGAAACGAACCAACATTCTAGACTACTCGACCAGCCTCGGCTATAAACTCAGACGAAGACAAGTAACCACAGAACTCATCCTGTCCCAGCGGTGGGAGAAACACATCGCGGGATGCCTAGGCAACACCGAGAAAATCGATTGGCAGGTCCCGCTCGCCATCAGAAACACCCGCATAAGAAGAGCATGCAATGGCTTATAAGTTATAACTACTATCAGGCCTTGCCGGACAACACACGGCTCAGCAAGAGAAGGTCGGAAATGGCCAGAAGGAACGTCGACGATAGTTGTGCGATCTGCGATGCCGGAACACTCGAGGATATGCCACACTGTCTGATACAGTGCCCAAACGCAGAAAGGCTTTGGAGAAGGACGCAGGGGTTCTGGTCTGCGACTGTCGCCACACCACTGCCAGATAACCTGCAGACACTTCTAATGGGCCCGGCACAGCCACGTTTTCGAGAAGCCTGGCATTTAACCCTCTTCCGAAGACTTCGCCCCTTTACATTGTGGATGATATGGAAGACACGATGCAAACAAACAATAGCCGGCCAAAAAAAACACACCAACCAGGGAGGCCTGGGAGCACTTACTGCAACTACGGACGGGACGGAGTACCAGGCGGACTGGCACCAGGCAACCAAGAACGTCAAAGAAGGCCCCACAAAAAAAGCAAATAATCATAGACAAATTCATCAAAGACCGGCTCGGAACTCGGAACTGGTAAACTCGACTCGGCACAATAGAAGGCGCTCCTCCGAGACTGGTATGGAAGCTGCAGGAAGAACAACAAGGGAGCGACCGTATTACGGAGCTCGCCTTGTTAGAAACAGCGCGATCACGGAACCGTGTGGCAGATATAAACTCAGCATAGAGGGCACAGAAGAGCCAGTGTTTAAGAAAAGAGGGAGTCAGTTTACAAGTAGCTGCCTCTTGACCTGGTTGTGGGTACAAAGTCCAGTTCCGGTGGTTCGCTCCACCCCTGGGGACCCGGAGTGCTTGTTTTTCCGGTATCGTAGGCTGTTCCACCTCGCTCCAGAACCTTTATGTGCAAGGACTCAGGAGGTGTAATGTCCAGGACACAGGGGTTGGCAGGGTTTAGGGTTTAAGGGGGAACTACGAAAGTAAGGGATAGTTTGTTAACCAGCATTTCACTCCAGACTGCTCGTTTTGTTCAACCTGCTCAGGCTTTCCCTTCTTTTGTCGGTACAAATTGATTCCTTCTTAGTCCCAGTTATTGTTTTTTAGAATTATGCTCAAGGGGACGCTGGGCCCGGTTTCCCGCCAAGCCAAAGGTGGGTAATGGCCCCAGTACACGGGGTTGAGAATCTTGAGATGTGGAGGGATTCCCGGCCTCCTTTTGCAAAAACAAAACCCAAAAAAAAAAGCTGCTTTGTGTAAAAAAAAAAAAGAGAGGGAAAAAAAATAAAAAATAAAAAGAAAGAAAGAAAAAATATCGCAACCTTCTTCATCGACATAGAATGCCGGTCATAATGGCTGTATGAAGACCGGAAGTTGCCTTAAATACAGCTAGAATGAGTCTGAATGATCGAACGTTGTATTTGGGGGAAGACGGTAGGTCCTGCCTACCCATTCGAAAAGAGGGGACGTAGGAAGACAAAACAAACAAAAAAAAAACAAACAAACAAAAAAAAAAAAAGCAGGGTTGACTCGTTGGGTGGGTGCACTTTGTACAACAGAGCACTCACGGGACATAATTTCCCTTCGGCCTTGGCCTTGTCTTGAACTTTTTTTCCCTTTTTCTTTTTTTTTTTTTTTACAAGAAGGCTCTGTGCTCATCATTTGATTAACCACACAAAATAGAGGCCGGGAAATCTTGAAAAGATATGAATGCGCTAAGAAGAGTTGAAGTCCTGTTTATAGGACAACACTACCTTCTTCTTCACCCGAATAGAAAAATGGCGGTCATAATCGCTGTATCTAGACCGAAAGTTGCCTTAAGTACAGCGAAAATGACTGTACATTGTACTCGGGCGAAGACACCAGGGGCTCCCTACCCCTTCAAAAACAGGGGGAAACAGAGAAAAGAAAAGGAAAAAAAAAAAAAAAAAGGGAAAAAAAAAGCTAGGATGACAAACAGAGAAAGTCGGGAGACCTGCATGACTGAATTCATGACAGCATTGAAATTCGTTTTTTTTTAAGGGTTGACTCATGTGCGCAGATTTGACCCCTCGGCATACCTGCACAAGGTGGCCCCTGCCGCAAGCACGTGCCCGCCCTAAGTGAAGGGCGGGCCCCTGAATCTCAATGTGCCCTGAATTTGTCAATTTTGCAAAAAGTCTTGGTGGGGGCCAGAAAGTTGCCGCGCGCCAGTTGGCTACATCCGCCTTGCTCGTGAGAATAAGAAATAAATTTGTGCGCCTTCTACCGTCTTCCCCCGAACATAACGCACGATACAAGGTATGTTTCCGGCCCGATACATGCAAAATGGGGGTGCGTTGTGTTCGGGGGATAACGGTAGGCTCTTTCAGCAGCGAGGGGAAACGGAGGTTACACCGCACGATTGTGCCTGGGTGGTTGGGTTGGGCGTGCTCAACCAATTCGGTCCCCGGCCGCTGTCTGAATGGGACTGGGCACAGACACTTTGGCCCAATCGGAAGCTACTGGAAACGCGTGCGCCGGAGGCCAGACGGGAAGTGAGCCTGCCTGCTTTCCATTTAGGAAAGGGGAAGGCAGCGGGGAGGGCATTCGGGCACTTGCCAGTGCAAGCGGCAGCGCTGCTGGAGTGTGAGCTCGTGCCTGCCTGCTACCGTCTTCCCCCGAACATAACGCACCCTGAAAATGAACGTATACAAGGTATGTTTCCGGCCCGGTACAGTCAAAATGAGGTTGCGTTGTGTTGGGGGGAAGACGGTAGCGCTGGGTGTGTGAGAAGGCGATTGCAGCCGCATGGGAGACATAGCCAAGCCATGCCCCCATAGCCGGGCTTGGCTTGGACGAAGGTCAGCAGAGGTGGTGGTGGTCTTCGGGGAGAGTGGAGACGTGGGCGAAGAAGACAAGGGTGAGCAATAGAACGAGAGATGACGGGGATGATGTGAGACTACGTACCTGGTCTTGGCGGAGGTCTGCATGTTCGACATCTGCAAGTACTTCGTTCACTGCTGCTGACATCAGCCGGTTGCTTCGTCATCAGGATAGGCTAGTTTAGTAGCTGTGTGATCGTAGTCTGGGCGCTGCGCGCCAAGTAAGGAAGCAGGGCTTCAAAGACATTGTTGGCGGTGGCGAGAGTATGCTTTCTTTCATTGACAATTGAGATCGCTGCTTTGTTATTAGGATTGTTACTCCGTCCGTGTGATATCAGCGCATTTCTGCTTTTTGGACCGCTTTCGACTATACTCTGGCTATCTTTGTGATTTTGCAAACTGGAACTCTGTCATTTCGTTATTGCTCAATTTTCATTGCACATACAGTGGGTACTTTTTTCTTTCAACGAAAAAAAAAAAAGAAAAAAGAAAAAAAAGTAAAATTTTAAAAATATGATGTGGGTCAATTTTGCACAACCGACTCGAAGACAGGGCACTCACTTGAGATAATTGCCCTTGGCCTTGTCTTGAACAGATACTTGTGTTTGATCACACCAATCGCCAAGTACTCCACACTTGATCTCTCAGGCTTATCCTGCGCTTCGCCCTGACTGCCCACCTCCTCTGACAGATGGATTTCAGATTCTGCCTTGGTGCTGCTGCTGCTCCGCAGTGTCGATACCTTCTTCTTCAAAATGACCAGCGGCTTTTTCAAAGCCACTCGCTTTCCCTCCAGCTGATGGTAGCCAATTGTTAAGCGTGCAGAGCCCTGCCATAATTTGCCGGATTAAGTACAAGGGTTACCTACCAGATAGTCAGGAGATTTTTTTTTTTTTTTTTTTTTTAATGCTAATCTTGTCTGTGCAATCAGACACGTCTTCTTCTTACTCAGCATGCATGAAAACAGATGGCAATCACACTGGCGACGAGCGGCCACACAAAGCTCAGAGATATCGTGGCCAAGAACACAGTTCAGATTCAACTCGCTTCAAATGGCTATGGCGCCTGAGCGCCCTCACAACACCCTTCCACGCTGTCTCCTCGGCACTGTTCACACGCACGCTACTCTGGATCCCCCTCGATATCCCACACACGCACACATCTCACTGCACACTCATATACAACACACTGTAGCCTATCTCTAACCTCTGGCAGCTATGGCTGCGTTCTACTTCTTACACTAACTAGCGGCTATGGCCGCTTCGTCTCCCTCTCAGCCCACTTCTTCCTCGGGCACTCGCCGACGACCTTGCACAAGTCGCTCAGGCAGTGCTTCCGCACAGCTCACAGTCTGAATGAATGAATAACTGGACGCTGCCTCTTCCTTTATTCTTCTGTTGGTCGCTGGTGCAGTCCTTTCCACCGGGCCTAGTGTGCACACAGTCCCACATGGTACTTGCTCACTGGACACAGTGCGACTGGGACTGGGTACCGCTGCCTGAACGTGGTACGTCTACCCACTTGCCCACTTGCCTACGGACTGCTTCCAAGTCTCTCCAAGGGGCACTCCTAGAAGACTCTAGACCTTCCTACTTGCCCTTTCGGTACTGTAGCAGCTACGACTAGGTTTACCCTTCACTGCCTTCAGACCTACAGCAGCTACGACCAGACATAAGCTACGACTCCTACCCTACAGGTAAGCAGCTCGAACCTACTCAAGTCTCGTACGTACAACAGCCTTAAACAGACAACTTCAGCGGCAGGTCACGGGTTCAAACCTTGGTGGGGCAAACTGTACTGTGTGCACGGGTTCGGGGCAGGTCTAGGGATCGAGCCGAGGGGATCTGCATCTGCTACTGCAAAGGTGAAAACCGTTTCATCTGTATCGTTCTGATTCTAACGGGTGTCTCAAAGGACAGTCAGGAGAGAATGTTCACTTTGTCCTTTTCACCTTTTTCACCCTGAGAGAAAACATGAGAACAATGGCTGAGGAGTGCCAGATCATCTGGCCATTGCATACATTTTTCAGTATTATTTACTTCTATTATTTGATCAATTTATCTAATATTGGATTATTAATATTAATTAAAAATTATTCATATTGGACCCCTTCTCCTCCCAATTCACTTCATCAGCGCATGATTTGCAGGGTCATTGTGCATGGACCCCTCCCTGCTGAATGTGAACTCAGATCTGTGTCCTACTGTCACTTTGCAGGACGATCAGGTCAGTCCGTGTCTGATTTCAGTCTTCTGCTGCATTACATTCCATCCCCCCCCCGCTGAAAATTCGCCGTTTTTGCCGACTGTTTCGGTGAAAAATTCAGCGAAAATTTCAAAAAGAAAACTATATGGGGCCACAGTGCAAACATCAAAAAAAAGAAAAGAAAAAAAGAGACGCTAAAGAAAACGAACAAAAAAAACACAAAAACACTATAAAACCCTAACACAAAACACTATAAAACCCTAGCACAAAAACAATATAAAACCCTAACACAAAACCCCTATAAAACCCTAACACAAAAACACTTTCCGAGTTAAAATGTAGCGTTCAACGAATCGAATGTAAATGCCAACTTTTTCATGATTGATCCCTCAGAATGCAGACTCAAAGGAATATCGGACTGCCAATCCCCCTTGATAAGGAGCAATCAATGCTGTTGAGGGGTCCTTCGGGGTTAACAGAAGGAAGCAGGGGTGCGTCATTTCATGTATATGGGGGTCCTAAGGCTTGCCGGTAGAACCAGTGATGTTCAAGGTGTCAGGCGATGTTCAGGCCCTGCAGCGGTCCGGTGATGTTCAGGCCGAAGGACTCTTGAGCATCACCGCTTTATGTATATATAGGGGTCCTATGGACTGTCGGTAGAACCGGTGATGTTTAGGGAAATAAGGCCAAAGGGCTCTTAAACATCACCGGTTTATGTCAAACAGAGCTGCCGACGGTAAACCGTAGGCAGAGAGGGAGAAGAGGACAACAAACGAGGGGCTGTGAAAAACTGTTTTGTCGGAGTTTCACCGACTCATCAGGAGGCTGAATTATATATAGGGGTCCTATGGCTTTTGCCGGTAGAACCGGTGATTTTCAGGGGGCCTAATTTTAAGGCCAAAGGACCCCTGAACATCACTGGATATGGAGTCAGGCACATAAGGTATCTGTTTTGAACTCAAAAACAAAACGCCGACAAAACTTGATGCATAATAATGCATCACTTTTCTGAGTTTTCTCTTATTATAATTATTTTGAAAAAAAATGCATAGCATCATTATGGTCCTGGCACTTCTGTGTGGCGATCCATCCGAGCAGACAGATCTGAGCACCTCCCTCCCGATGAGGTGGTTGCTCGACGAAAGTGCGATGGACGTAACGCTATGTGTTAAGATTTGTCTGTTTTCCGTTCTTTGGCCATGACACACAAACAAACACAGATTAAAGGTTCACAGTTCACTTACCGGCGATGTTGCGCACATCAATCCAATCTCCAGATTACGGAGTTGGTTTTGCATTGGGCTCTGGACTTCGATGGACCCTTGAAGTTCCACCATTCCCCATTTGGGACATTCGCCACACTCGCAACGCACTGGGATGATCATGCGTATCCGGTCCTGTGCTGCGCTTTTCAGCTTCAAGGCCGCCCTCCTTCAATGCCTTGAAGAAGAAAGCAGTCTACTTGAATCCCTCTCTCTCTCTCTCTCTCTCTCTCTCTCTCTCTCTCTCTCTCTCTCTCTCTCTCTCTGTGTGTGTGTGTGTGTGTGTGTGTGTGTGTGTGTGTGTGT